AGGGGTTCGGGGTTTTTGTGTGTTCAGAAGATTCCCTTCACTTCCTGTTCTATAAACACAACAAAAAGTGAAAGGAAATCTCTCCAAAATGTGAGGAAATCTCTCAGTTTTCACTGGAACCGTGTCCCCATTGGAAGATTTCCCCTCAATTCCTTTTATAAAATATTGGATTTCCCATCACTTTCTGTCTCAGTGACACCAGGGCAGATAGAGGGTGGATCTTCCCAGCGGGGACACAGACTCCACCATAACCCTGACGGGGTCTAACTCTTCTCCACTCCATCCAAAGAAAAAATTAATTGATTTCGGAGATCCTGGAGGTTTTTTTCCGCCGTGGTTTTTGTTAAAGATATAAAATAATGAGGCTAATGGGGCGTTTTTTTGGTACAACAAGTCCAGGATAGGAGGGAGGAGCTTCTGTAGCCCTCGGCAGACATTTATCGCCCATTAAAATGTTTCAAAAATGTCAAATAAAAATCGAACACAAACCAATCCTTTCCTCCATCATACAAAGACATTGGAGACAATTGTGCTCTTCCAGCCTTGTGGTAACAGTTTGGTGAAGACCCTTTTCTGTCCCCCCATGACTGTCCCCCGTGTACAAAGCCAGCTCCATAAAGACATGGATGACCAGTTTGGTGAAGACCCTTTTCTGTCCCCCCATGACTGTCCCCTGTGTACAAAGCCAGCTCCATAAAGACATGGATGACCAGTTTGGTGAAGACCCTTTTCTGTCCCCCCCATGACTGTCCCCCGTGTACAAAGCCGGCTCCATAAAGACATGGAGGACCAGTTTGGTGAAGACCCTTTTCTGTCCCCCCATGACTGTCCCTGTGTACAAAGCCAGCTCCATAAAGACATGGAGGACCATTTGGTGAAGACCCTTTTCTGTTCCCCCATGACTGTCCCCCATGTACAAAGCCAGCTCCATAAAGACATGGATGACCAGTTTGGTGAAGACCCTTTTCTGTCCCCCCATGACTGTCCCCCGTGTACAAAGCCAGCTTTATAAAGACATGGATGACCAGTTTGGTGAAGACCCTTTTCTCTCTCCCCATGACTGTCCCTCGTGTACAAAGCCAGCTCCATAAAAGACATGGATGACCAGTTTGGTGAAGACCCTTTTCTGTTCCCCCCATGACTGTCACCCTGTGTACAAAGCCGGCTCCATAAAGACATGGATGACCAGTTTGGTGAAGACCCTTTTTGTCCCCCATGACTGTCCCCCGTGTACAAAGCCGGCTCCATAAAGACATGGATGACCAGTTTGGTGAAGACCCTTTTCTGTCCCCCCATGACTGTCCCCCGTGTACAAAGCCGGCTCCATAAAGACATGGATGACTAGTTTGGTGAAGACCCTTTTCTGTCCCCCCATGACTGTCCCCCGTGTACAAAGCCAGCTCCATAAAATACATGGATGACCAGTTTGGTGAAGACCCTTTTCTGTCCCCCCATTGACTGTCCCCCGTGTACAAAGCCAGCTCCATAAAGACATGGAGGACCAGTTTGGTGAAGACCCTTTTCTGTCCCCCCATGACTGTCCCCCCGTGTACAAAGCCAGCTCCATAAAGACAAATGGATGACCAGTTTGGTGAAGACCCTTTTCTGTCCCTCATGACTGTCCCCCATGTACAAAGCCAGCTCCATAAAGACATGGATGACCAAGTTTGGTGAAGACCCATTTCTGTCCCTCATGACTGTCCCCCATGTACAAAGCCAGCTCCATAAAGACATGGATGACTAGTTTGGTGTGGAGGGAACTCCAGTGTCCTGTACAAAAATGCCCCGACCTCAACCCTACTTTTGGTATATAAGGTCTTCTCACCCACCAACATCAGTACCTGCCCTCAACCCTACGGAACACGTCTGACATGATGTCTCCTCACCCCAATGGTGTTCAGTAGGGGTGAGGTCATGGAGGAACTCGAGTGTCCTGTACAGAGCCCTGACCTCTCCCTACTGAAACACCTTTGGGGTGGAGTGTGGATGGTGACCCAGGTCTTCTCACCCAACATCAGCACCTGACCACACAAATGGGACAAAATTGCCACAAACACCCTACAAAATCTTGTGAAAAACCTTCCCAGAAGAGTGGAGGATGTTAGAGCTACAAAGTTGGAGAAGTCCATATTAATGGCCATATGGGGAGGGGAACTCTATATTGGTGGACATGATTCTGGAATGGTACATCCTACAAGCGGATGTAGTGAATGCGGGGTCGGGGACAGCGGATACGGTGAATGCGGGGTCCAGGGAGAGCGGATACAGTGAATGCGGGGTCCGGGGAGAGCGGATACGGTGAATGCGGGGTCCGGGGAGAGCGGATACGGTGAATTTGGTATGCGGGGTCCGGTGGATAGCGGATACGTGAATGCGGGGTCCGGGGAGAACGGAATATACGGTGAATGCGGGGTCCAGGGGAGACCGAAAAACATAGTGAATGCGGGGTCCGGGGAGAACGGATATATAGGTGAATGCGGGGGTCCTGGGGAGAGCAGTATATGGTGAATGCGGGGTCCGGGGAGAGCGGATATGGTGAATATGCGGGTCCGGGGAGAGCGATATGGTGAATGCGGGTGTCGGGGAGAGCGGATATAGTTGAATGCGGGTGGGAGAGCGTATACGGTGAATGCGGGGTCGGGGAGAGCGGATACAGTGAATGCGGGGTCCGGGGAGAGCGGATACAGTGAATGCGGGGTCCGTCAGGGGAGAGGTGAATTGGATATACATGTGAATGCGGGGTCCGGGGAGAGCGGATATACAGTGAATGCGGGGTCCGGGTTGAGAGCGGATATGGTGAATGCGGGGTACGGGGAGAGCGGATATAGTGAATGCGGGGGTCCGGGGAGAGCGGATAAGCGGTGAATGCGGGGTCCGGGGAGAGCGGATATAAGTGAATGCGGGGTCCGGGGAGAGCGGTATCTAGTGAATGCGGGGACCGGGGAGAGAGTATACGGTTTTGGAATGCGGGGTTTGGTCGGGGAGAGCGAAAATAGTGAATGCGGGGTCCGGGGAGAGCGGATATGGTGAATGCGGGGTCCGGGGAGAGCGGATATGGTGAATGCAGGGTCTTCGGGGAGAGCAGATTACGGTAAATGCGGGGTCCGGGGAGAGCGGGATATGGTGAATATGCGGGGTCCGGGGAGAGCGATACGGTGAATGCGGGGTCCGGGGAGAGCGGATACATAGTGAATGCGTGGTCCGGGAGAGCGGAATACGGTGAATGCGGGGGTCCGGGAGAGCGGATACGTGAATGCGGGTCCGGGGAGAGCGGATATATGTACGGTAAATGCGGGGTCTGGGGAGAGCGGATATAAGTGAATGCGGAGTCCGGGGAGAGCGGAATACGGTGAATGCGGGTCCGGGGAGCGGATACGGTGAATGGGGGTCCGGGGAGAGCGGATATAGTGAATGCGGGGGTCCGGGGTAAGAGCGGATACGGTGAATGCGGGGTCCGGGGAAAGCGGATACGGTGGAATGCGGGGTCCGGGAGAGCGGATACGGTGAATGCGGGGTCCGGGGAGAGCGGATATAGGTGAAATGCGGGGTCCGGGGAGAGCGGATACGGTGAATGCGGGTCCGGGAGGGAGAGGGTGGTATAGCGAATGGAGGGGTCCGGTGGTAGATATAGCGGATTTATAGTGAATGCGGGGTCCGGGATGGAGAGCGGATATCTGGTGGAATCTGCGGGGTCCGGAGAGCGGATACGGTGGAATGCGGGGGTCCGGGGAGAGAGCGGTATACGGTGTGAATGCTGGGGTCCGGGGAGAGCGGTGAAAGCGGGGGGTATAGAGCGGATATGGTGAATTGCGGGGGTCCGGGAGAGCGGATATATGAATGCGGGGTCCGGGGAAGAGCGCGGATATAAAAAAGTGAATGCGGGGTCCGGGAGAGGAGCGGATATAGTGAATGCACAGGGGTCGGGGTCCGGGGGAGAGCGGATAACGTGAATGCGGGGTCCGGGGAAAGCGGATATAGCGAATGCTGGGGTCCGGGGAGAGCGGTATATAGTGAATGCAGGGGTCCGGGGAGAGCGGATACGGTGAATGCGGGGTCCGGGAGAGCGGTTACGGTGAATGCGGGGTCCGGGGAGAGCGGATATAGCGAATGCGGGGTCCAGGGAGAGCGGATATAGTGAATACGGGTCCGGGGGAGAGCGGATACGGTGAATGTGAGGTCCGGGGAGAGCGGATAATAGTCAAATGCGGGGACTCCGGGGAGAGCGGATACGGTGAATGCGGGGTCCGGGAGAAAGCGGATATAGCGATATGCGGGGGTCCGGGAGAGCGGATATGGTGACATGCGGGGTGGTCCGGGGAGAGCGGATACGGTGAATGCGGGGTCCGGGGGAGAGCGATACGGTGGTGGAATGCGGGTCCGGGGAGAGCGGAGAATACGGTGAATGCGGGTCCGGGGAGATGCGGGTATAGCGAATGCGGGGTCCGGGGAAGCGGATTATAGTGAATTGCGGAGTCCGGGGGAGAGAGGATAAACAGTGAATGTGGGGTCCGGGGAGAGCGGATATAGTGAAATGCGGGGTCCGGGGAGATAGCGATATAGTGAATGCGGGGTCCGGGGAGAGCGGATACGTGAATGCGGGTTCCGGGGAAAGCGGATATAAGCGAATGCGGGGTCCGGAGAGAGGATATAAGTGAATGCGGGTCCGGGGAGAGCGGATACGGTGAATGCGGGGTCCGGGGAAAGCGGATATAGCGAATGCGGGGTCCGGGGAGAGCGGATATAGTGAATGCGGGGTCCGGGGAGAGCGGAATAAAAATCGGTGAATGCGGGTCCGGGGGAGAGCGGATACGGTGGTGAATGCGGGGTCCGGGTAGAGCGGATATAGCGAATGCGGGGTCAGGGGAGAGCGGATATTATAGTGAATACTGAGTCCGGGCGAGAGCGTGCATACGGTGAATGCGGGGTCCGGGGAATGAGCGGATATATAGGTGAATGCGGGGTCCGGGGAGAGCGGATATAGTGAATGGGGTCGGGGATAACGGGGGGATGAGCGGGGGATACGGTGAATGCGGGGTCCGGGGAGAGCGGATACGGTGAATGCGGGGTCCAGGGGAGAGAAGCGGATATGGAGTGAATGAATGCGGGGTCCGGGAGAGAGCGGGTATATAGCGAAATGCCGGGTCCGGGGAGAGCAGGATATAGTGAATGCGGGGTCCGGGGAAGCGGATAAACATATGAAATGCGGGGGTCCGGGAGAGAGCGGATATATAGTGAATGCGGGGTCCGGGAGATAGGCGGGTATATAAGTTGAATGCGGGGTCCGGGGAGAGCGGATATGAACGGTGAATGCGGGGTCCGGGGAGGATACTGATAATATAATAGCTAATTGCGGGGTCGCGGTGGAGAGCGGATATAGTAAATCGCGGGTCCGGGAATAAAATTGGTATAAAGGGTAGCGGATTTCCCTATGTTGAATGCTGGGGTCCGGGGAAGCGGGATTAGTAAATAATGGGGTGGGGAGCTGCGGATAATCGGTGAATGCGGGGTTCCGGGGAATAGCGGATTACATGTGCGAATGCGGGGTCCGGGGAGAGCGGATATGGTGAATGCTAGGGTAGTCCGGGGAGATAGCAATACGGTAAATGCGCGGGACATCGGGGAGACAGACTTAACAAATGGAGAATGCGAAGGGGTCCGGTGGAAGAGCATGGATAATCGGTGAACATAGCGGATTCCGGTGGAAAAACTCGGCTTACACGAACACCTGTATGGGTATCCAGGGAGAAGCGGCTACTAGGTGAAGTAGCGGAGATCCGGGCGAGCGGTAAACCGTGAAATGAGGGGAAGTCCGATGGAGACGCGGCATAAAGTGGAATGTCGGGTGACGCGGGATCGCGGATAAAATAAAAAAATGCGGGGTCCGTGGGAGACACGGGATACTGGGTGAATCTGCGTGTTATCCGAGCATAAAGCTGGTATATAGCGAATGTACGTGGGGTCACACCAGAGCGTATATAGTTGAAATGCTGGGGTCACCGAGCGTGACCAAAACAGAAAAATACGTAGTGAATAAACGGTGTCCGTGGAAAGCGAATGTCGGAACAATAAGGCGAATGCGTGGGTACCGGGGAGACGGATAATAGTGTAATTATGCGGGGTCCGTGAGAGCTGGATGACTCTAGAATGCGTGGATCCGGAGGAAGCGGATACGGTGAATTCACCTGGGGGTCCGGGGAGAGTCGGATAACTTTACAGTCGAATGCGGGGTTGCCAGTGCGAAGCGGATAATAGTGAACTAACGAGTAGTCCTTGGATGAAAGCGGATAAAAATAAGCGAATAGAGTTACGGGAGTCCTGGAGGAAAGCGGAAAATGGTAGAAAAGAACGGGGTCCCGAGGGGAACAAAAGGTATGGGAGTAGAATGTGTGGGAAACTTCGCGCGTGAATATCGAAAAACAACATTTACAGTGAATATGCGAGGGGATTCCGAAAATGGAGGTGTACGATATATGGTGAATTGCAAAATGGGTCCGGGGGAGTACGCGGATATAGGGAAAGCGGGGTGCCGAATAGCGGATAATGTGAATGCGGGTCCGGGGAGAGCGGGATATGGATTGAATGCGGTCCGGGGAGGGTCGATATGTGTGAATGCGGGGGTATCCGGGGAGAGCGTGATACTAGGTGAAATGTGACGGGGTCCGGGAAGCGGATATAAAGTGAATGGCCGGGTCCGGGGAAGCGGATACAGTGAATGCGGGTATCCGGAGAGACAGCGGATAAAGTGAAATGCGGTAGGATCCGTGGAGGGGTGGACGAGCGATACGGTGAATGTGGGAGAGATCCGGGAGAGCGATACGTAGGCAATGCGGGGTCCGGGGAGAGCAGCGGATATGTGAATGCAAGCGGGGTACCGGGAAATCGGATATACGGTGAATGCGGGTCCGGGGAGAGCGGATAACGGTGAATGCTGGGTCCTGGGAGAGCGGATACGGTGAATTGCGGGGTCCGGTGGAGAGCGGATACGGTGAATGCTGTCCAGGGAGATGCTAATACGGGAATGTTGGGTCCGGGAGAGGAGCGGATACGGTGAATTCGGAGTCCGGGGAGAGGTCGGAAATAGTGTAACTGCGGAGTTCCGCGAAGAAGACGATATTAGTGCAATAGCGGGTCCGAACCGAGAAATATATTTAATGCGGGTCAGGGATAAGAGCGGATACGTGAAATGCGGGGTGTCCGGGAGAGCGAATACGTGAATGTGGGTCCGGGATAGTCGGATTACGGTGAATGCCGGGTCCGGCAGGAGAGCGGATATAGTGAACTGACTAAGGATGTCGCCTGGGAGAAGCTGCATAATGGTGAGATGCGAGTGTCCGCGTGACAAAGCGCGGAACATAACGTGACATCTGCACCGGAGGTCCCGGGAGTAGCGCTGATATAACGGTGAATGTAAGCACGGTCCAATACGGGGAGAGTCGTATGAGATACCTATAGTTAATGCGGGCGCTTTCCGGAGATGCGGATACTGTATAATGCGTAGGGATCCGAGAAGAGAGCGGAATAATCGGTGAATGAGGCGGTCCAGTAGAGCTCGGATATACGGGTAATGCGGCTAACCGGAGGAGAGCGATACGGTGAATGGCGGGTCCGTGAATGACAATATGGGTGAATGCGGGGTCACAGCGGAGCAGCGGAATACATTGATGAAAGTAGGGTCCGGAGCTCATAACTGACAATGCGGTAGTCCGAGGAGAAGCGTATAAACGTGAATAGCGACTGTCCGAGAGAGCATATATGCGAAACGTGAGAGATCCTGGGCAGAAGCGAGCGAATAAATACGGTGAATGCGGGGTCCGAGTAGCAGCTGGATAAACGTTGAATGCGGGTTCGCTGGGAGAAGCGGATAATTTGAGATGAATGCGGGGATCAAGGGCAGAGCGATTAAGTGAAAGCAGGTTCCCGAGGAGACGAGCGGATAAACGGTTAATGTGGGGACTCCGGGGATAGCGGATACGGTGGTTTGGGGTCCGGAATAGAGAGAGCGTATATAGTGACATGCGGGGCTCCGTGGAGAGCGGATACGGACGTAATTTGGGGGTTCCGGTGACGATAAACGGACTATGGTTAATGTGGGTCCGGGAAAGTCCGTATAGCGGAGTATAGTGTGAGTGTGTGTGGGGGGTTTGACTGCGGGACCGGGAGACAAAAGCCGAAACGGTAATTGCGGGGTATCCGGGAGAGCGGATATAGTATGAATGGCGGGGACCAGTGATGGGAGAAAAGCAGATACGGTTGGACAATAATGCGGGAGATCCGGGAGAGCGAAAATAGTAGGAATAGCTGGATCCGGCGGGAGAGCGGGATATGCGGTTGAATGCGGGTTCCCGGGGGAAGGGGTTTAGTGAATGGGGCCCGGGGAGGGGGATACGTAATTTTGGTCCGGGGGAGCGGATACGGTGAATGCGGGTCCGGGAAGCGATTTGAAGGGGGGTCCGGGAGAGCGGCAATCCGGGGGGGTGAATGTGGGGCCCGGGGGAAGCGGATACTGAATGGGGTCCGGGGAGAGCGGAAACGGGAATGGGGGGCCCGGGGAGAGGGGATAGGGTGAATGGGGGGTCCGGGAAGGGGAACGGTGAATGGGGGGTTCCCGGGAGGGGGGAAAAGTAATGCGGGTCCGGGAGAGCGGATACGGTGAATGGGGGGTCCGGGGAAAGCGATCGGTGAATGGGGTCCGGGGAGAGGGGATATGGAAATGGGGGGTCCGGGGAAGGGGATACGGTGAATGGGGGGTCCGGGGAGACGATAGGTAATGGGGCCCCGGGAAGGATAGGGGAAATGGGGGCCCGGGGGAAGAGCGATACTGAAATGGGGGTGGGGGAGAGCGG